ATTACATAAATCAATGCAATTTATGACAGTGATTATTTAAAAAATTTCTTAATAATTAAAGCATATATAAAACATGGTTATTACTTTCTCAAGTGCCCAGAGAAAGAGGGACCCCACACCCAAAAACCATACATACACATTACATTAATTAACATAATCACCCACGAACAAAGCTTATTTAATTAGTTTTAATTAAACTACTAATTAAAACCCCTCTGACACTAGAAGGAAAAGATGCTATTTACATGCACCCATGGGTCACCCTAACATCACCCTCAACGATGCTTGCTCCTCGTCTCCCCGCTGTAGAGCCTGTATCATTTCACATACAACGAACACCGTGAGATCACTGTGTGTGTCTAGCCCATCAACCAGATCACAGCCGTACGATTCAAGATCAAGATTAAATCACTTAACCAAACAAAGAAAGTCAACGATGAAACCTATTGGACGGACAGATTTCGCTGATCTATATGCTATACCGAGTGATTTGTGTACAAAGTGTTTTTACTCCCAAAAAAATATTTATTTCCACGCGCCGATTAAAGACAGCATCACGTTTTCCTTCCTTCTTTGAGCATCCGTTTGGTTGCTGGGAAAACAGGATGGAAAAAAAAAAGTTGAAAAGGAAAAGAAAACCCCCTGAGCCTTACAAGCTTTAACAATTTTAATTTCTTTTTTCTTTTTAAAAATATTATAAATAATAATAAAATCATAAATAAGCGAAAAAAAAAAATATTTGGTGTGTGTAAAAACCAGTGTAAAATATCACTATGAGGGCGTGAGTGACTACCAAGCATGCGACCGGGAAAAGAGTTTCATACCAGTCATACACAGTAGGGGAATTAGGCTGTGGCTTGTCGAACATCTCACCACCAATTTTCTTGGTGGCAAGGTTGCTGCCGGGGTGGAATACGCTTCTCCAGACGTTATCTTTACGCGCCGTCGCCGGCGTCGTGGGTGTGACCGGCGTCGCCGGAGTACCTGGGCTAGTTGGCATCGACATCGATCTCTGGAACTTGCTTCCTTCTCCTTCCACATCTAGAAAAGATTCAACTTTTACACGTTACAAATACTCTTTTAAGAACATAAACACACCCATAGGGCATATACTTGTACAAAAATTTATTTATACACGTATGTTACAGGGGTCTAGCTGGTATATCGATTATCCCAGGTGAGATCACCTCCGATCCTAATAATCTCTTGGCTGATTAAAGATTGAAACTTGGTATTCGTAAACCTTTCAAAAATTAAAACTTTATTCATGGTCCTTGACGTTTATACATATGGATTTATAAGGAGATGGGTATGTGCAATTCATACTTGTTTATCTTCATGTGTGACTGAAACATATGCGATTACCTTTGATGTTCAAGGGTTTAGTAGAGATCTTTCTAAGTTTTCCAAGGCCACGATCAGGTTGGGGCCCTGCTACGACGTCGTCCCAAAGCTTCTCCAGCAGAACCATTTTCCCTCCGTTTTCTTCCCTACTTTCTCCTCTTTTCTTCTTTTAGATCACTCTGGGGTACATGAAGGAAACGCAGCTCTACCTACACCCGGATTGTGGGTGTATATATAGAAGTCGGTGGGCTTAAATATCCCAATAGTGTCCTAAGAATAACTATTAATTTTTCACCCCCCTCAAAACAATAATTTTTGCTACTTCCAAATTGGTTCAATGAGTGGAAATAGTTAAAAAAAATTGTTTCTCTAAGGAGTGGAAATAGTGAAATAAGGAGTGGCAATAGACGAGCCCAGAATTTCGACGGATAAGGATGAGGACCTCGCAAATGGTGGGACCCGCGGAGTAATATCTCCCACACAAGATCCGGAAAGAGTAGGTGGCGGGTTGCTGGACATGTGTACAATAATTTTGCAGATATTTGTCCTGTTCTATTGTAGCAATGTGGGGGCCACAGAGACCGGCAGACAGGACCTCTCATAATGACAGGTGGGTCCCGTGCTTTCGTCATATGACGTTCGTTCTTTTATTAGTGCAGATTTTATTGTAATTTGCATTTATCTTAACCTTAATTATAATAATTAACTTTAATTAATTCAAGCATGCATCGTCGTCAAAATTTTCCTAAGAGCATACCACATCAACCTCGGAGGCACTCTATCTATCAATTGTCCAAGTATCCATGCCGCCCTCCCCCTGTTATGGTAAAATCTCGAGTCCTTCCACCCCATAAAAATGAGAGTGTAACTCCAACATCAATACTTCGGTTACACCAATAGGTGCTCAGAGACCCATATGTTTCTTCACTACTAAATAAGCCACAACCCAAGTATAACCCAGTTACAGTTAAAGTGGATTCAATGTTAAGTCGAACTTGGTTCGAAAAGATTTGCAAGAGTAGTACAACAACATGGATATTCGTAATGTTAAGTCGACGATATAGTATTTATAAAGAAACCAAACTACAGTAAATTATGTAGTCTAATAATATATGTTGGTGATATAATTGTTCACCGGTGATTTCACAGAATAACTAATTAATTTGAACAAAACTCTTGCTATGGAATTCAAGATTTAAGAGCTAGGAAATCTTATATACTTCTTAGGAAGGAAGTGGTAAGATCCATAGAAATCATCCATATATCTTAAAGAAAATATATCATAGATTTTACTTGCCGTGTATGAGATGTTGGGATCTAAACCAGTTGATACCCCTTTGGAAACCACTCACAAGTTGGGAATGTCTACAAAAGGTTGGTAGGCAAATTCATCAACCTCTCTCAGACACACGTCATTTTTGGTGCAATCTAGTAAGCTCTCTCTCCCTAGTCTCGGCCTCTTCTCTCTCTGAAATCCCCACTCACCTCTCCCGTGAACTATCTATTCGGTTTCCCTCCTTTTTCAGCTTCGAGCTCCACCTTTTTCTAGGTAAAGGGAAGCTGTTGGATCCACATCTAGGCACTGAAAATCCTCTGAGAATACCAGAAAGGCCATCGCGCCCGAGCTTATCTTCTCTTCGTGTTTACGCATCTGCTTCCTTCTTTTCCTATTCCCCGCGCCACCATGCTGCCTTCCTTCTTTTGCCCCACTCTGTCAAAACGACGTCGTTTCGTTTAATGAGTGAGAACGGACATTGTTTCACGCTCTTTGATTCTTAAACAGTCTTAAATGGCGTCGTTTTGGCGCAAGCAAGATTCTGGGCTGGAGGCACGTGGGCTTGGGCTTTCTGGGCTTCTCTTTTCTCTTTTTTTTCTTTTTCTCCTTTTTGGCGGGCTAGGGTTCATCTTCTCTTTTGTTTAATTTAATTTTTGTGATTCACTCAATTTAGGTTCCAAGTAAAATCTAATTGAATATTTGGATGCCTTAGTTTTGCTTACATTTTGAATCTTAATATTTCAATTCAAAATTTTAAATCTAAAAAGTTAAGAAATTTGAATGCATAACTACGTAAAAGATAAATGTTTGAAATTAATATAAGATAATCTTAAATTCGGATTTGCTCTATACCCGTCCGATTGACATCCCTAACTAAATACTTGATTGTCTTCTTTTAATACGCAAATTTATTTAGTTCGAATCATTTTTTGTAGTTGTATAAACAAGTAAATCCCGTAAATGGAAAATCACTTTAATCAATTCATACTAGTGTCTCAGTTATCATCTAATGCAATCTTTACAACATTCTATATGTATAAACACTATACATGCAGAAGCTCAAGAAAAAAAGAGAAAAAGCAAGGCTCTAACTCAATGCGGGTACCCATGATGATAAACGAGAGCAGTTCCTTACATTTGATACGACGCCACCTTCCCCTGATGATTGTTGAGTGTTCAATTTTACATTAAGATATCAAAGAGAAAAAGAACGTTCTTTCCTAAACTAATTATATATAACCCAACAATAATTCAATACAAAAACTACATGAAAAAAGATATATATAAACACATATGTGTACATACTTTTAAGGAACATGTACAGGATCAAGAGGCGAAACTCAAAATGCAAAAACTTCGTAAGTATGTTGACGTATCATTCAGTCCCCTAAATCATTGTCCAAACTTTCTTTTGGTTATTGGAAATAAATGAATAAACATACAAGCCGTTGGAGTTTTCAGTCATACAAAATTGCCGCTGAATCATGACTGGGATCACGAAGACATTGACATGGACACAAATGGCAAACAAAAGCAAAACCAATCACCACTCCCTCTAATCCCCCGTTGAAGCAATTCCCATAGCAACAGGCAATTAAGAAAAAAACAGATAATCCAAACCCACCTCTCACATCAATTTACAAGTCCTCGTTAGAATCAGCACCATTATCAAATGCACCAAACAAAACCCACAGTTGTTGAGAAGGATTATGTCAAACACTAAGCAACAAATCAGTTTAATGTAATATGATAACAATCTAACATCAGCTTCGTTACTCTGGCAAACCTTTTTCGCCGGTAAATTCAACCCTACAAAAATCATAACTTGCTTGTACTGGGTTGTAACCTCTTCAAAGGACAAATTTGATTATTCATACACGATGTCTTCAAAACCTTAACACAGATTTTTAGAGTTTCAAACAAAAAGCATTGATATGAATATTTATTATATGCACATCCTCTACCTAAATTTCTAAATGAGTTATACTTGCACTAATGTTAATTAATCTTCTTTTGCAAATTCTAAAGGAATTATAACGACATAACAGGGAAAAAAACTAATTTAAAACAAATGTTTAGTGAAAGACCATTAAATATGGAGTTACACACATCATTGTAATCTAAAAAAAAATAAAAATAAAAATCTGGCCCATCCTCCTCTATTGAGACAAACCCAAATCTTAAATCATAAAAGCATATTCCAAATTTTACATTTATTATGCTTTCAAAAGAAGATTGAGCCCTAACGCGGCCAAAATTCTACATAAATGCAAAAACAAGCAAATCAAAACAAAATGGTATCTAAAAATACCAATAACCCCACAAAGGTTTCATGTATATATATGCTATGGGCTCCAACAAGCAAGTTTGTAAGGAAATCAATGGCAACTTACTTGCAAAACAAGATTTCCTCAGATGTTGCAGCTGATAACTGTTCCCTTGACTCACTCTCGTTTGCTGGCTACCTATCCATTCAGGATCAGCAATCAACACTCTCTCCTCTCAATAGAGACAGGGGAAGCGACAAAGACAAAGACAGACAGTTGGAGGTTAGCACTGCTGCACCACATACAATTGCTCATAATTTAAACAAGAAACCTCCGACTGTTACCAAAATCTCCAGAAGTCAGCTCCTACCACAAGCATTCTTATACCAACTGAAGCAGTCTCGGGCGACTAATGAGCACGATCACAAAAGGTTATCACCAGCATCCGGCACTAGGAGGAGATCTACAGACAGCAAAAATGATTCCGCGAAGACTTCCCCTAGATCAAATCACCAAGTTCGAAAGAAAGCCAATAGAGAGGACACTGTTTCATCCTCATGGTTTGGCCAGAAATTGTTTCAGTCATTTGTTTCCCCATGCAGAGAATGCCATGTCAAGCCAACTATGAAAGAAGATAGCAAGGGACCAGTAAAATTCAATTCACATTAAACCGAAGCTGCCTTTTCACTTTTTTGAATTTGAACTTTCCAGGTATTCATATTCCACATATGAGATTTGAGAAGAGGGCTTTAAGTCTAGCAGAGAACAGACTCAATATATTTTTGTAGTTAGCAAATCTGAAAAAACCTGCACGTGTAGCTTTCTTCCTAAATTTGAACAATTTCGACATTTATAGTCAGAAAATTATATGATTATTTAACTGTTACACAGTTCCATAAATGGCCTATTTCTCAACTTTTTCTTTTCCATTTAAAAGTTACTGTTTTAACAAAACATTAAAGGCACAACAACTTAAGTAACAAATAGGGTATTTGACACCCTTACAGCCTGCTTCATATAACAGATTAACAAAAGATGAGGAACTATCTAACATAATTTGCTCTACTAAAATTTTTAGGGCTAAGGGCACTCCTAAAAAAAATAATTGTTGCTCACAGAAAAAGAGCAAGAAGTCTTGAGTTCTAAACAAATTCATAGCATTGCAGTACTCAAATGCATGAACATTTCAAAAAACAAATGACTAAATGTTCACACATCAGAATCAACTAAGAAGGACCTTGTTCAACATTGTCTACAACTGCAACATAGGAATGTCTCATAACGTCCAATCTGTACAAAGGAAAAAAGCATTCTCTGGCCAAGCATCTTAAGATTTGTGATGATACTTATCAACATATCCCTGCATATCAAAAAAAGGATTTCATTGAATGCCATAAATAATTACACAGAATCTCGTACCAATAATTCCCTACTAAGCTCTATCTTCAAAGCTTAAAACTTACCTGCACAAGTTTTGCAATTTTAGGTTGAGCTGAAGAAAGATATTGGTGGACTGATTCCATAGTAGTCGGAATTTGGTGGGGCTGCAAGGTGCTAAGGACCTTGTCAACTGCTTTTTTCACTATAATGTTATGATCGTCCTTGCCAAGATGACCTTCACGCCAAGTTGGTTTCAACAGTTCTTTAACATGGTCTACAAGTGCAGCACGGAATTGTCTCATCGCCTTTGGTTCTTTGTGAACACTCCCATCTGACTTTGTTCCAACATCCATATCATTTTCTTGTTTAACCCTATCTGCTTTTAAGCCCTTGTGTCGAGATCTATCACTTTGATGCCTAGAATCATGGTCAGCATCAGTTTTGTTTGTTTTTGGAATGTCTTTAACACGAGAGGCCACTGAGGATTTCTTTTCTTTTGGCATTATCTTATTTTTCTCATCAACCACAGAAGTTCCAACCACCTCTGCACCAGTTGTAAGTAAATCATCATGAGGAGTACGACAATCTGTTTCCAGCAGGTTCTCATGGTAATTGTTTTGAAAACATGAACTATTTTTATCATCACTACATTCGGGGACCTGAGTCCCACTCAATGTAAGATCACGATATGCGCCCTCTTCTGATACTTTTAGGACACCTTGACTAGAGAAAGAAGCACAAAATGATCTATCTCCAACGATGGGTTGGTCTATACTATCACGAAGAGGGTCATAAAGACTTTCAGGAGATGTTAGACTTGTAGAGCGAATGAAAAGAGATGGTCGGAAAGGTTCAGAAGGTTCCCAGTCATTTGAAGTAATTTTTGTCTTGTAGTCAGCAGAATTGCCCAGAGATATATTTTCTGGTTTAAGACCCAAGAAAGGTGAAAAGCTCCGCAGTCTCGGAAATGACTTTGAAGCATTATAATCTTTGTTGTTGTCCAATTGCTTTTGAGCACCAAGATGACTTGCATTCATAGATAAGGAACTAAAAGATGATGATTGTATCCACTCAGAGTTATGATTGAAGGCAAAACAACGGTAGGCGGAAGGGCAGAA